TGCAGAGAGTGGTGAAGGCTGCACAGAAGATGTTGGAGTCAGTCTCCCCACATCACAGACATCTACACCTCCAGATGCAGAAAGAGGGTCACCTGCATCATGAAGGACCACACTCACCCAGCACACACACTTTTTGCCCCACTCCCCTCAGGAAGGAGGTTGAGGAGCATTAAGTGTAGAACCACTAGACTGAGGAACAGCTTCTACCCTGAGGCTGTTACTCATAAATCCCTAACCTAACCACTGTACAGGCGCAGTTCATAAAATTAGAATATCATGAAAACGTTGATTTTATTTCAGTAATTCCATTCAAAAAGTGAAACTTGTATATTATATTCATTCATTACACACAGACCGATATATTTCAAATGTTTATTTCTGTTAATGTTGATGATTATAACTGACACTTAATGAAAACTCCAAATTCAGTAGCTCAGAAAATTACAATATTACTTAAGACCAAATTAAAAAAAAGGATTTTTAGAAATGTTGGCCAACTGAAAAGTATGAAAATTAAAAGTATGAGCATGTACATCACTCAGTACTTAGTTGTTGCTCCTTCTGTCTGGATTACTGCAGCAATGCGTCGTGGCATGGAGTCGATCAGTCTGTGTCACTGCTCATGTGTTATGAGCCCAGGTTGCTCTGATCGTGGCCTTCAGCTCTTTTGAATTGTTGTCTGGTGTATCACATCTTCCTCTTCATAATACTCCATAGATTTTCTATGAGGTTAAGGTCAGGTGAGTTTGCTGGCCAATTAAAAACCGGGGTACCATTGTCCTTAAACAGGTACTGGTAGCTTTGGCACTGTGTGCAGGTGTCAAGTCCTGTTGGAAAATGAAATCTGCATCTCCATAAAGTTGGTCAGCAGCAGGAAATATGAAGTGCTCGGAAACTTACTGGTATACGGCTGAGTTGACCTTGGACCTCAGAAAACACAGTGGACCAACACCAGCAGATGACATGGCACCCCAAACCATCACTGACTGTGGAAACTTGACACTGGATCTCAAGCAACATGGATTCTGTGCCTCTCCTCTCTTCCTCCAGACTCTGGGACCTTGATTTCTAAAGGAAATGCAAAATTTACTTTATCAGAGAACATAACTTTGGACCACTCAGCAGCAGTCCAGTCCTTTTTGTCTTTAGCCCAGGTGAGACGCTTATAACAATGTCTCTTGTTCAAGAGTGGCTTGACACAAGGAATGCAACAGCTGAAACCCATGTCTTGCATACGTCTGTGCGTGGTGGTTCTTGAAACACTGACTCCAGCTGCAGTCCAGTCTTTATGAATCTCCCTCACATTTTGGAATGGGTTTTGTTTCACAATCCTCTGATTGAATGGCACATAATTGAATCCTCCTACTGACAAAGGAGATGATTGTGGACTTCAGAAGGAACAAAAACACCTACACCCCCCTGAACATAAGAGGATCTGCGGTGTAAGTGGTCTCCAGCTAC